AGACAAACAGACAGACACACAGAGAGAGAGAGAGAGAGAGAGAGAGAGAGAGAGAGAGAGAGAGAGAGAGAGAGCAGGTGGAATACTGCAGGGTGCGCATCTGGAAACGAGCGCGACACTGCAGGCAGGAAAGCGTGTGTTCTATTTGAGTAGAACACCTGTGTTCGAATGGAACAAACGTGCGCACTATTGGAATAGAACATACGTGCGTACTATTTCAACGTCCGTACTATTTGGATTTCAGGGGGTGACTTGGAGAAATCGACTTTTCCAGGGACAGTTGAATAGTACATATGTGCGTTTTGTTCGGAGGAAGACTGTAGGCTATCAGCAGGGCTGCCCGAGGCACCATGTTTTGCCAGGCGGCCCGGCCGTGCAACGACCAGGGGAGGTCCGAGCAACAAAAAAAAAGACAAAAAAAGTGAGAAATCCGAAAAATGAGAAATCCGAAAAAGAACTATGTTATGCCGAAAAATAAACTGAACAACTTTTGCCTCAGGGTCACATCGAAATTCCTTACCAAATTTAAAATAAAAAAATTAATTAAAAAATACTTTTTTTTTTTTTTTTTTTGGCCCAGCCGAGCAAGTCGTCCCAGGCTACTCGGGTAGCCTAGAAAAAAATCTAGGATACCAGAGTGGCCCGGGCCCACTTGCCTTGCTGGGAAAAAAAGAACAAAAAAATTCAAAATTCAAAAAATGTTGTTGAAATTGATGTTTTATTTTTCATTTGGTAAGGAAGTTCGATGTGACCCTGAGGCAAAACTTGTTCAGTTAATTTTTCTCAAATTTTCTGCATAACATTTTTTTTTTCCAGATTTTTTGGATTTTTTTTTTCTTGCTGGGAGAGCCTGGGACCTTCTTTCGTCCTTGCACGGCCGGGCCGCCCGGGAAAACAAGGTGACCCAGGCGGCCCGGCTGGTAGGTTAGGAAAAAATCAAAAAAAATACGAAAAAAGAATGTTGTACAGAATTGCAATAAATGACTTTCGCCTGAGGTCTTGGGGAAATTCCGAACCAAATTTGAGAAATGGACGGTGGTACTACTGGGTCCTGCAAAGTTGTGCCCTAAAACTCGTTGTATAAGGTACGTATGTTGTATTTGAATGCAACAGACCCCATAAAACTCGTTGTATAACGTACGTATGTTGTATTCGAATACAACGGACCCCGTAGCCTGTATTCGTATAGAACATGGTACACCTTTTTTTCGGGTTAAGACAGTAGCTGTCTTGTCCATCCGTGTCTGATCGTTGGTCCTGGGTCTTGTGTCTTGAGTAGCATCTCGTAGCCTATTTTGACTGTGTAATCAGGAATTGGTAAGATTGAGTTTTTTCGGTTTGCCTTTGTTCGGTTGCCACCCCCGTTGAGCTGGGTCAAATTCCGTAGTCCTGGATGGAGGTGTTACATTGGAATATCGTTTTTGGCCATAGCCCCATTACTCTAGCTTTGTGTAAAGCATACCTACTGAGAGATTCATTTTGATCAGTTTAGATGGGGCCTCTGGGTTGGAGTAGCAGGCGGGGAATGAAGTAGCTACCGGCGAGTGGCTATTTGTGTCAAGCCTTTGTGAGAACTGGTATGCTTGGGTTGGTGGTACTTCTTCAATTTCTACGCCCCATTCTCCTGCTTTCGCAGAGAAGTTTTCTTGCGAGCTTTCAGGAATGCTTCTGTCACGCAGGATTAAGGTAAGTAGAATGTGAGATAAATGCGTGTCCAAATCAGCCCCTACTAAATTTTATTATCGAGTAGATAGGATCATCCCTCCTGCCAGCGGGGACACGGCTTAGAGCGAGGCGTTCGGTTTTATCACCTGCACCTGACCCGGTGTAAAAGTCAGACTCAAAATCACTGGAGTCCCTGTCCAAGGAGTCCTTGGGTGGCTTTGAGTGTGAGCTAGCTACTGAAGGAAAAGGGGAATTAGCAAGTCATATGATGCCTCACAGAACAAAGGACAGATGCGAGACGAAGAGACCAAA